TATGTTAATGTCAAAATTACGGTTGCCATCAAGCATGTAAATGTTGTGTTATCGAGTTTTGCATGTTGTTCATTTATACGACTTCACTGACCTTTAATGTAACACCTTTCCCAAATGTGACGTCACCAGACACTGTGAGATGATCTAACTCCAGGATGTCAGGAATGGTTTGAAATCTCTCGATGAAACTGTGCACCTAAATAAAATAATTTGGTCGCAAGTACGTGTCATGTTTCCAAGACGTGAAAGTGGATGGTGTATAATGAAGTGTTGATGATAAATAAGAGGCATGTATGTGCACGAACAAGGTCCTCGCTTGTACTACCTTCAGGTTTGTTGATTTGATTTCGTTTGAATCATTTGTTTACTTCACCAAGTTTTCGACCCATTAGCCAGGATCTTCATCACATTACCTTGTTAGATCACAAATCAATAAACATAGTGTTTTCCACAAAATAATTTCTGTTTACCTTCCAAAAGTAGGGGCCACTGAGCTGTATTAAAGGTGTCGTTGCAAACTGTCGTTTGGGACTCATCATGAGAGCACCAGCTTCATTTGTTATGTACAGGTTAGACTTCACTAACAGAAGATCTGAAGTTTTCTTCACTGGAAGAAATCTGCTTCGGGGAACATTGATTCCTGCAAGAAACACGAATTATCATTAAGGCCAATTTACAGTACACAACTTCTGCCTAAAACTGTCGCATGTGACCTGCTTACAACTCGAGTTGTATTCTGTAAAGTTTAGCAAGCACACAACTTACCTACGACAACGTAAATGAGTTGTGTGCTTGATTTACACAGTACAACTCAAGTTGTAAGCAGGTTGCACGCGACAGTTTGAGGCAAAAGTTGTCTAGTGTAAATCGGCCTTTAATAGTAAAATGGCCTTAGCTTGAAACATTGAGAACTATTTTTCTTTTCTCTTTTAGATTCGATGAAGGCAATTGCAAAAACAAGCCAAAGATTGATGTGTACTTCACTTGTACCCTACCTAGTGCTCCATCAAAATTCTTGATTGCAGCGCCAACCGCTGTCTCCAACTGTATAACATTGTAACCATTCTCAAGATTCTGAATTGAAAAATGATCGAACACATGAGCAAAACAGCAAGAAAATCAACATCATGCGCAGGCAAATATTTCCCCAAGAAAGAAAAAAAGATAATTGTAATGAATTAGATATAAGAAGTTCAAAAGAAAAATTCTAACCAATAGAAAGAATGTTACCTCAGTAATGCAATTGTAAGTGCATCCATCTTAATAGTGCAATAGTTTATAAATGTATAAAATGAGTGTATATCCACCCTGGGCAAGCTTGAAAAATATGCCTGTCCACGGTGGGAATCGAACCTACGACCTTTGGAATACTAGCCCAATGCTCTGCCAACTGAGCTACGAGGTCATATACACTCAGAGTAATATCACAAGCATCATATTCACCTGAGTGCATTACACCAACACAGAAAAAAAAAGATGTAACACATGTTGTATGGCGATGCGTTTTTGGCAGTCTGCGACACCAATTTTCAAAATTTTCAGGGGCAGAACATGGTTGTAACAGTCTTTGTATTCAATATCATTATATTTACCTTGTTGTTGACAATCACTTCCATGTGCATTTTCTTTGCATCGAGTAAACGTTTGATTGCAGCCAACCTTACCCACAAGTTGTTCGTGTTGAATATCCTAAAACAAACCAAGTCAATGTAGTTTTTGCAAGATCTTGATTGATCTGTGGTTACCTGAATTTCTAAAGTTTCTGAGCGCAGTTTCTTACCTGAATTTCTAAACTTTCTGAGCGCAGTTTCTTACCTGAATTTCGAAACTTTCTGAGCGCAGTTTCTTACCTGAATTTGGAAACGGATTTAAATTCATCCACCTGGATAGAAAATAAATATTAATGCTAATAAAGCGAACGCTAATTAAAGCGAACGCTAATTAAATTGAACGTTAATTATATCGAACGCTAATTAAATCGAACGCTAATTAAATCGAACGCTAATTAAATCGAACTCTAACTAAAGCAAACGCTAATTAAAGCAAACGCTAATTAAATCAAACGCTAATTAAAGCAAACGCTAATTAAATCGAACTCTAATTAAAGCAAACGCTAATTAAATCGAACTCTAATTAAAGCAAACGCTAATTAAATCGAACTCTAATTAAAGCAAACGCTAATTAAATCGAACTCTAATTAAAGCAAACGCTAATTAAATCGAACTCTAATTAAACCAAACGCTAATTAAATCGAACTCTAATTAAAGCAAACGCTAATTAAATCGAACTCTAATTAAAGCAAACGCTAATTAAATCGAACTCTAATTAAACCAAACGCTAATTACAGCGAACACTAATTAAATTGAACGCCAATTAAAGCAAACATAAATAATGAAAATTAGCAGTAAACCTAAGCTACAGAGCAACTATTAAACATGATTTAAAGCATAATGTGAGAAAATAAAAGCATACATGGTGTTTTGGAACTTGAGCAATTTCCAGTAATCGAACTTTGTTTTCATATTCAATCAAGGTTCCACCCTAGCAAAGAAAGTCAAGTGTTGTTTTCATATTCAATCAAGGTTCCACCCTAGCAAAGAAAGTCAAGTGTTGTTTTCATATTCAATCAAGGTTCCACCCTAGCAAAGAAAGTCAAGTGTTGTTTTCATATTCAATCAAGGTTCCACCCTAGCAAAGAAAGTCGATCAAGTGTTTCAACAACTGTAGAGATGAGTGGTTAACAAGAGAATGTTTGACAAACCTTCACATCAGGAGATGAGTGGTTAACAAGAGAATGTTTGACAAACCTTCACATCAGGAGATGAGTGGTTTATAAGAGAATGTTTGACAAACCTTCACATCAGGAGATGAGTGGTTAACAAGAGAATGTTTGACAAACCTTCACATCAGGAGATGAGTGGTTAACAAGAGAATGTTTGACAAACCTTCACATCAGGAGATGAGTGGTTTATAAGAGAATGTTTGACAAACCTTCACATCAGGAGATGAGTGGTTAACAAGAGAATGTTTGACAAACCTTCACATCAGGAGATGAGTGGTTAACAAGAGAATGTTTGACAAACCTTCACATCAGGAGATGAGTGGTTAACAAGAGAATGAGAATGTTTGACAAACCTTCACATCAGGAGATGAGTGGTTAACAAGAGAATGTTTGACAAACCTTCACATCAGGAGATGAGTGGTTTATAAGAGAATGTTTGACAAACCTTCACATCAGGAGATGAGTGGTTAACAAGAGAATGTTTGACAAACCTTCACATCAGGAGATGAGTGGTTAACAAGAGAATGTTTGACAAACCTTCACATCAGGAGATGAGTGGTTAACAAGAGAATGTTTGACAAACCTTCACATCAGGAGATGAGTGGTTAACAAGAGAATGTTTGACAAACCTTCACATCAGGAGATGAGTGGTTTATAAGAGAATGTTTGACAAACCTTCACATCAGGAGATGAGTGGTTTATAAGAGAATGTTTGACAAACCTTCACATCAGGAGATGAGTGGTTTATAAGAGAATGTTTGACAAACCTTCACATCAGGAGATGAGTGGTTAACAAGAGAATGTTTGACAAACCTTCACATCAGGAGATGAGTGGTTAACAAGAGAATGTTTGACAAACCTTCACATCTTGGTGGGTTGATCTTGTCAAGTAATGAACACAGCAATTAGTAAATAACAGAGTTAGTACACATTCTTCAATGTGAGCTACCTTAAGAAAGCTTTGGATTGATAGTGATGCAACTACCTGAAAGAAGTTTCGAGAGAAGGTCCTTCGTAGGGAAGTTAGTAAACAGGGGTAGGGAAAATTACACAAGCAAGAAAGTAAGTGAGGTGTGCTAATCATCCTTACTTGCAGCTGAGAGCTAAACTGAATTACGAGGGACGCAGCTCAACCTGATCGAGTTGAAGGTTTTCTAAGGACGCCTATTGCATCCACTTTATGACTCATGTCTGATCACGGAGCACAGCTACGGTGGAAGGGTCAGTTAGGGGGATAATCCCAACCCACCCTGTCAACTTTCCCTGTGGGAGGAAACCGGAGAAAATCCACGACTTTCGGCAGAGCGTTGACTCACTCTTTTCACATGAGTCCGTAGCGAGAATCCAACCGACGATCTCAGAGGTGAAAGGCGCTTGCTCTGACTATCGCGCCACAGAAAGCCCCGACTTGTATTTTTCATGTATTTGTTTCCCTATCCAACCGAAGCTTTCTTATTATTGCCACTACCTACACTGACACAGATGTTTCAAGTTCTCCTTGTATTTTTCATGTAGTTGTATCCCTATCCATCCGAAGCTTTCTTATTATTGCCACTACCTACACTGACACAGATGTTTCAAGTTCTCCTTGTATTTTTCATGTAGTTGTATCCCTATCCATCCGAAGCTTTCTTATTATTGCCACTACCTACACTGACACAGATGTTTCAAGTTCTCCTTGTATTTTTCATGTATTTGTATCCCTATCAATCCGAAGCTTGCTTATTATTGCCACAACCTACACTGACACAGATCTTTCAAGTTCTCCTTGTATTTTTCATGTATTTGTATCCATATCCATCTGAAACTTTCTTATTATTGCCACAACCTACACTGACACAGATCTTTCAAGTTCTCCTTGTGTTTTTCATGTATTTGTATCCCTATCAATCCGAAGCTTGCTTATTATTGCCACAACCTACACTGACACAGATCTTTCTAGTTTTTACATCAATTTAATCTGATGTTGTACAAACTCACTGCTCAGTTAAGCATCATACACAGGTACGTGCCCAGATGTATAAATCTCTTATACAAAGGATACTCAGATCAACGGTCGCGCCTAGATTATCAATATTGGAAATAAAAACAATTTCTTTTCCTTGGGAGAGAAATTTATCCAGCAAACCAGAATTGTAAAAAGATTGATATGTGTCACCATGGCCTGGTGGGTACCACCTGCAAGGTTACAATACAACATTTCACTCTCGGTAAATGTCAAATATTTCACAAAACAACGCCTCAATATCCACGACAATGGGCAATACATGATTCAAACTGCAGACGAAATTTTGATCTAGATATTGTATATATTTGTAAAATAACCATTTTTTAGCCGAAAGTGATTATTTTTACCGCGCGTAATGCAAATATATACAAAATTTGCAAACTTCACAGGCTATATTTTCTTCATTTTACAACATTTAGCAACCACACTTTGCGCTTTTACTCATTTTTAAGACGCTCTTTCTGGCTGTGCCGGTGATGGATTTTGTTCTTCTTGTCGAGATCAAAATTTAGTCTTTACCTGCAATCATTTATTTTGTTTCTTTGAACAACTTCGGAAATGTTCACCCTTGCATGCACAAACAAATAAATCCTTAAAATAATTTACTTTACTTTATTATTTTACTCTGCCTAATGCCAGACAATTTCACTCCTCAAAGAGAGAATACTGGTGTTGAATGGGTAAACCAGATAATCTGCCCATGAGTCTAATTAAACTCAGTACGTTTTCCCCTTTCTAATGCCAGACAATTTTACTCAAGGAGAGCACTCGCGCTCAATGGGTTAAGGCAGGTTGACTACCATCCAGGGGTTGACAAATGCTTCAAAATGCCATACAAAGTCGTACATTCTGTAACTGCTCTAAGTTGGTGTATGTTTCATTGATAAAGTGCTTAGTTAATCTCCCCCATGTAAAAAAATCTACTTCCAATTAAAGATCTTACCATTCGCCTTTTCCATTCCGCATCGTGGTGGCAACAGGTTGCAAGGATTCTTTATTTATCCTTGGATGACAGCTTTGATTAAAACAATGTATACTGACATTAAATACTTCGTATTTCTTAATTAATTTCATTGTCTCCTCATGAGTGTTGAAAGAGTTCATTAAAACCAGTGGGACATTGCATCCAAACTTTCTGTTCAAATTCTGAAAGAAATAGCACAAAATGTTTTATAACACACTGCTAGGGGCACAATAAAAATCATTGCAGCCCATTGTGCAGCAACAGTCATTGCTTTAGGTCTCCTTGCATGATGCACCCTACTTTATTGTTTTATTCTAATTTTACTCATCAAGGGGAAAGTGCTGCCACTCAATGGATTAAACCATATCCACAGCAATCCTTATAATGCAAGTCCTATTTAATAGTGGATATTTAAGCTTAAAAAACTCATTAATAATTGAAAATACAAAAGGAATCACTGCCGTGTTGGTGGTTTTATATGTGATAAAAAATCATGTTCATTTACATAAACTTTAGCTTTGATTTTCTCGGCTTAGACGTTTATTTTTAAAATTACTTCGCCAATGAGTTCTTTAAATGGGTCGTTTTTAAAGCCATTTAAAATTCTCGCAGTCTGTGCTTTATGAGATACAAAACACTTAAGCTGCGCTCTCGTGTTTTATATCTGATAAAGCACTCCTGCTCGTTTATTAAACAGTACATAGTGCATGTTAGTTACTAGCACTATAATTGTTTTTATATTTTAAAGGATGGCATCTCTGTCAACAAACAGGTCGCACGGTGCTAAGTACTGTACATGTTATTTACGGTGTGAGTACATTGAAAAGCAGAAGTCTAATGACTTAGCTCACATTAAGAACCACAGTAAATGAATTTCCATGCTGAGGATTTCAAGCAACAGCAGCTGTCACTTTAAAATGGTCAGATTTTTTTTCAGGAATTTTTTAGGGCCGTTAAACGGCCACAAAAACTCAATCTTGAATTGAGTTTTGAAACTCAATCTTCTCACCAAAGTTTCAGTGCAGTAAAAATGAAGTTGTTTGAGTTATAAAATATTGTGACGTGTGGAAATTAGTTTTCAGTTGGAAGCCCGACAATTAAGAAAAAAATGGCTGTAATTCATCTTTCAACACAAGAAAAACTATGCATTCGCCATCTTTAACCAGTTTATAGTGTCCCTTAGTGCCCCTGCTTAAATAACACATTCCATCTCAACTACATTTACTGAGTACAGGTGTCAGCCTCTCCGCTTGTTGGTGCAGCCACCCCAGCTGTTCAGCTAAACTCAATCTTCTCTGCAAAAACGGACCCAAGAGAAAATCCTGAAAAAAACCCTGATGGTGTGTGTCAGGGTAGGAGGTCGGGAAAATTACACAAGCTTTATAATTAATGAGCTTTTAATGGCTTAATTTTATACTACTTTTATACATTCGCTAGTATAAAAGCTTGTGTAATTTTCCTAACCTCTGCTAATTTCCTGACGAAGGACCTTCACTTAAAATGTCGAAGTTGTCCTTGTATTTTTCATGTAGTTGTAATCCTATCAATCCGAAGCTTTCTTGTATCTTTAACCCATCGAGTGGCAGCACTCTCCCCCTGACAAGTAAAATTGTCTGGTGTTAGACAGAGTAAAATAATAAAGTAGGGCACATCTGAGCGCATTGCCACTTAAAGGGTTAACAGCTACAGTATACACATGTTGTTATTTTGTCATAGAATATGTTTCCAAATACCTGAATCAAATGAACAGTCAGGTCAAGAAATGTAAGTTCATTTCGAACTGGAATCAAACTTTTTGCACCAACACATCCCATACTAGTTCCCAAGCCCCCATTTAGTTTGATGACAACCAATTTATCCAACAACTTCTTAATGGCTTCCTTGTCATCACCACTCGGTGACAGACCATCATAAGCAATTATCTGAAAATATCAACAGAATTATTTTAGATTTACCATAGTTAATAGAAGAGATGGTTTGGAAACTCATTAGAATAACAATATAACTCATTATCTATGTTAGTCAATGTTTATTCATAAATCTGGTCCTTCACCGTCACGTGTGTATTGTATTTTTGCCAAATCCACCAATAGCAATTTCCAATTTACCCTATTGTTCGAGTCATGGATAGGTAACTGTCCTAAAGCATTCCTATTGGTTAGTTGGGCAAAAATACAATACGCATGTGACGGTGAAGGACCAGATTTATGAATAAACGTTGACTAACATAGATAAAGATAATGATTATATTGTCATTCTAATGAGTTTCCAAACCATCTCTTCTATTAACTATGGATTTACTAAACAATGAAGATGTCCTCCATTTTGTGCTCCTTGACACCCATGCTTGGACTTTCACATCAACTTGGATAAGGATGTTAAATATATTGCAAGTATCTCGGCTCCGCTATGAAATGGGCAATAGCCTGTTTGGAAATCTGCTCACCAATGAGTGAGAGACTCAATAAACTAGGGAGTTTCTGCTGTCTGGAGCAGTGTCGTAACCAGGGTGATATTTGTGGAGGGGCAAAGGGAAAACCAAAGGCATAGCTCACGCTCTGGTTCCCTCTGAAAAAGTTTGAAATCTGGAGTCCCTGAAATGCGATTTCAAGCAGTTTGGGGCGACATTTTGGAGAATTCTGACAATTATAATGTACATTGCAGTTAATATTGATGTTGATAATGGAATAGCCAGCTCTTTCAGTGCTAAACTACTTTTCTCACCGATAGTGATTCAGTGTTACAACAGTTGAAAATTAATTTTATAGTTCTGACACTGCATAGCTCTATCAGTTATAAATTGAATTTGGAGGTCCATTGGCATTGTGTTTGGTCGAGTCAGGGACTCTGAAGGAACTCTCACTTACATCAGAGGTAGAGGAATGTACAAATAAAAGGCACTTGCCATTGTGGCACAAACACACCCTATTTCACGTAGATGCAAATTATAACAGTTCAAATTTGTAAACATTTATTTTTGTGATTTGTGAGAAGCGTAGATGTTAACTAGGTCCTACAAGGTCAAGCATCTTTTTGTGGTTTATTACAATGGTATCAAGATAACAAAATATCTAAATTAAGCAAAATACAATTATTGGGGAAAAAACAGGCCATACATAATAGCGCATATCTTTTTATCTCCAAATTCAGGAAAATTATCAATTAATTTAGAAATGCTTTTAGCTTTTGGCAATAGATAAAGTGTATAATTGCTGATAGCAGACAAGCTGTCTGTATATTTATAACATCTCTCCATGGGAGACCAAATTCAAATGATTTTAAAAAGAACCTCTTTATTCCAAATCATTGGCATGTTATCTAGATTAGGCAGTGGGCAGGCTTGCAAAATAATAATGTGAATTATGACTTTTAATTTTCAAATTGCAATATATATATATATATATATATATATATATATATATATATATATATATATATATATATATATATATATATATATATATATATATATATATATTATACTATATATATATACTATATATATATACTATATATATATATATATATATATATATA